GTGGCAGCGGTGTGGGGTGAGAGGCGGCGGCGGCCACGCTCCGGCCGGGCCCCCGGGGCTCCCGGCGGCGTCGGCGGCGGCGGCGCCATGGACGAGGCCGTGGGCGACCTGAAGCAGGCGCTGTCCTGCGTGGCCGAGGCACCGACTGTCCATGTGGAGGTGCACCAGCGGAGCGGGAGGTGAGCGCGGCCCCGGCCCGGGCCTGGTCCCCACCCTGAGCCCGACCCCGACCTGGCCGGACCTGCCCGGGCCTAGTCCGCTCCCCGAGCCCCGCCTGACCTGACAGGACCCGACCCACCCGGCCCAGGAAAGCCGGGGGCTTGGACTGCCTCTCCCGGGAGCTCTAAGTGCGGGCACCGTCCGTGGCCCCCCGCCCTGAGCCCCCTCGGCTGCCGGCGGTGGGGCGTGGGCGCGGGGTGCTGGCACAGGGGACTGGCCCCCGACGCCGTCCAAGGGCTGGCGGGAGCAGGAGGGCCGGGGTTGGCCGGAGGGCAGCGGCGGCCGGAGACGCCAGGCTGAAAGCGGGCACCGCTGGCGGGGAGTTGGCCAGATGCAGACGCCTGACGGCCGCGGTGCGGGTTCGTTCCCTCCTCGGTCACGGCGAGCGCGCTTCCCGCTGCTCCGAGCGCACCCGTGTGCGGGGCGCTGTCCCCAGCAGGCCAGGCGGGTTGACCACCCCGCAGGGGCACCCAGCGAGCACCAGCTCCAGCTGTCGCCTGCTGCCTTCTGCTGGAGGCTGAGGACAGAGACTCGAGGCTGCCCACGGGGGCCGACCGGCTTCCGTCCCCAGGCTGGCCCACTCGGCCCACACCCCTAACTGCTGCGCTTTCTCACCGGTGCTCTGGTGTTTTAGACACTTACTACTAAAATGTGTTTTACTCTAAACCTGATTTATGTGTTTCGTTTGTTTTCCTAGCACTGCAAAAAAAGAAGATATAAAGCTGAGTGTCAGGAAGCTACTCAACAGACATAACATCGTGTTTGGTGATTACACGTGGACTGAGTTTGATGAGCCTTTTCTGACCAGAAATGTGCAGTCTGTGTCTATTGTTGACACAGAGCTGAAGGTTAAAGACTCGCAGGTAACTTACTGATTCTCAGTGCCAGGAAACAGCCAGCCCCTAGCTGGTCACAAAGTCAGCACCGTGGTCGTGTGCTTGCTGTTTGGTAGTGTGTTGTCAGAAACTGGTTTGCTCATCTGTTGGTTTGGCCTCAGACAGGTCCTGGCTGTCAGTCAGGAGCCAGGTGCTGGAGAAGACGTGGCCCTGCTGTCAGGATGCTCTTGGTGCAGAAGGAGACAGACCAGAAACTGAGACTGCACCACGATGAAGCAGTGGGCCATGCTAATGAGGCCTGTGTGCCTTCTCTCTTCTCTCAGTCAACAAATGTTTGTGGGGTGCGCAGTGTGTGCCAGGACCTTCAGAGTTCTGGGGGCTCTTCATCTAGTCCAGCGTATAGACTGTGTCACCCACCGCCTTACTGAGACTGTGTCAGGTGTGGGGGAGTTACGACGAGTCTTGTGTGAGAGGCTGAGTGTGTTGGCGACAGTTCTGTTACCGCTATAAAACAACCCAGAATGGCTGCCTCAGGAGGACGCATCACTTATACCTGTACAATTCCTGCCTTACAACAAATCATTTTGGATGAATTGGTTTGGCACTAAAATTTGCTGATGAGGTGGGCCTCCCCATTCTTCTGTTAGGACTGATGTTTGTGGCACTGTCAGAGTTTTTCACCCTGAAGTCTGATGCCGCAGTACTCAATTTTGGCCAGCCTGAAGGGAACAGGAGAGCTTTCCTACGCTCTTGCAGAAGGGCAGGTTCGCATAGCCTAACTGGAGGTCGTGGGTGTTGGCCACTAAACCTAACCAGGAATGTGAAAGAACTGTATACTGAGAACTATAAAACATCGTATAACTGAATCATTTTGAAGCTAATACATTATTGTAAATCAATTATAGTTCAATTAAAAAAAACTTAAAGATAAAAAATTAGATATTAATGGTCAAAAATAAAGATTATATAGTATTAGGAAGAAGTTATTAGATTGGATGAAAAGACTTACTTTATTTCAAATTTAAGATTAGTTATTTTAAAATGTTTATTCTTTCCTCCCCTTTTGGGACTCAGAGTCCTTTCTATAAATGTCTCTGAAGATGAGACATACTTGTAGAAGTATCACTATTAGAGTAAAATAATAACTCTGTAAACGACAAAAGAGTAAAAAATGACTGGTTAAAGATCTGATTACAATGCAATGGAAAAGAAATTAGGTTGTTTTTATGACACACAACACTTTAAGATAATGACTAGAATTATGATCGATAACATTATACCAGGACAGGTTTCCAGGAATGTCACCCTAAGCACAGTTATGTGGGTTTATTTCTGAGCTCTCTATTCTGTTCCATTGACCTGTGTATCTGTTTTTGTGCCAACATTAGGCTGTTTTGATTACTGTGGCTACGTAGTATTTGAAGTCTGGGAGGGTTATGCCTCCAGCTTTGTTCTTTTTCCTCAGGATTGCTTTGGCAATTTTGGGTCTTTTGTTGGTTCCTTATAAACTTTAGGATTACTTATTCTAGTTCTGTGAAAAACGTCATGGGTACTTTGATAGGAATCATGTTAAATCTGTAGGTTGCTTTGGGTTTATGGCCATTTTAACAGTATTTTTCCAACCCAAGAGTAGGGATACTTTCCAGTTCTCCGAATCGTCTTCTGTTTCCTTTATCAGTGTTTTATTGTTCTCAGCATATAGGTTTTTCACCTCCTTGGTTAGGTTTATTCCTAGATATTTTTTTGGATGCAGTTTTAAACAGGGTTTTTTTTTGTTTTTTACTTTCCCTTTCTGATAGTTCATTGTTAGTGTAAAGAAGTACAACAGATTTCTGTATATTAATCTTGTATCCTGCTACCTTATTGAATTCATTTATTTTAATAGTTTTTTTGTGGAATCTTTAGGATTTTCTACATGGAGTATCAAGTCACTTTCATATAATGGCAATTTTACGTCTTTCCTTCCAATCTGGATACCTTTTGTTTGTTTCTTACCTGGTTGCTGTGGCTAGGACTTCCAATGCTATGTTAAATAGAAGTGGGGAGGGTGGGCATCCTTGTCTTGCTCTAGAATTTAGTGGGAAGGCTTTCAGCTTTTCACCATTGAGTATTACATTGGCTATCAGTTTGTCATAAATGGCTTTTACCATGTTGAGATATGTTCCTTCTATACCCACTTTGGTGAGAGTTTTTATCATAAATGGATGTTCAATTTTATCAAATGCTTTTTCTGCATCTTTTGAGATGGTCATGTGGTTTTCATCTTTTCCTTGTTGATGTGGTGTATCACTTTGATTTGCACATGTTGAACCATTTTTGTGACCTGGAATGAATCCAACTTGATCATGGTGTGTGATCCTCTTTATGTGTTGTTGGATTCAGTTTGGTAATATTTTGTTGAGGATTTTTGTATCTGTATTCATCAGAAATATTGGCCTGTAAGTTTCTTTTTTGTAGTGTCTTTGTCTACTTTTGATATCAGGATGGTGATGGCTTCACAGAATGACTTCAGGAGTCTTCCCTCCTCTTCAGTCTTTTGGAAGAGTTTGAGAAGGATGGGTGTAAGTTACTTTTTGTATGTTTGGTAGAATTCCCCAGGGAAGCCATCTGGTCTGAACTTTCATTTTCAGAGAGGTTGTTTGTTTGTTTATTTTTTAAATAGATCCTTTCCCACTTCTAGTGATTGATCTGTTCAAATGATCTGTTTCTTTTTGATTCAGTTTTGGTAGGCTGTATGTTTCTAGAAACGCGTCCCTTTCCTCTAGGTTGTCCATTTTTTTGGCATAAAACTATTCATAGTATTTTCTTAGGGTCTTTTGTATTTCTGTGGTATCAGTTATTTCTCCTTTTTCATTTATTTCTTTATTTGGGTCCTCTCTCTTCTTCTTGATAATCCTGGCTGGAGGTTTGTTGATTTTGTTTATCCTTGTGAAAAACCAGCCCTTGGTTTTATAAATGTTTCTATTTTTTTAATCTATTGTATTTATTTCCCCTCTGTTCTTTGTTATTTTCATCCTTCTGCTGACTTTAGGTTTTGTCTGTTCTTTGTCTAGTTCTTTTAGGTGGTAGAT